GGGTCTATGACACTATGCGCTATGACACTATGCGCTATGCCACTTGAATATAGTGCTCGCTATGCATATGTTTGTATATACAGTTACTTACGACCCTCAGAAGAAACCCTGTTGTGGACACGTGTAGAAATGTATATGGTCTGACATGTCACACTGGTGAATCAATATGGCTTCGCATCTAAGAATTCCATCTCGATTCACGACTCCTTCCAAGACCACTGTATTATAACTGATTCTTCCTATCCCTTTGTTCCTTTCAATTCTCATTCTTTTCATTCGCATTCTGTGGTGCAGGACTGATAGGATTCAGGCTGGTCAAGATCCACAATGTTTCCTAAGCAAGGATGGGGATTGATAGGATTCAAACCCATTCCTTGCTTCTTCTCGCTTGTGATTTATTCACTATTGGTGGAAGACCTCACTTTTGATTACCATTTCACGGATTAGCGATCAGGTGGCCTTTCTTCTTGGTGGATCCTTTGTCGCCCGTTTCTCTTTCTATGGTCTACCCATTAGGCGGTCTTTCTTCCTGGTGGTTAATTGTAGTCTTTTGCTTTGATTTTAAACTTCACTCGGATCGAAATCAATCGACTTATGATGTACGCTTCCTGAAAGTAAGCATCAAGCTTTTTTTACTACTGCGTACTTGAAACCCTACTGACCACTTCCTTGGTCTTGATTGGTCAGGATTTCTTCCAATCAAGCCTGATCCTCGATCTCCCCCACTTCTCCGCAAGATACCAACCCCTTTTCATCCCCCTTTTCATATTTCAAGAATGGCGTCGGTCATTAGTGCAATTCCATGGCCCGGTAAAATCGCTTGCCTTCAATACCTGGCTTTATACGAAGGGGTTAATTGTCAGGGTGCTAGTGCGGTGTACTAATATGGTGGTATGAAGGGGGTGGGACAATATAATGTCTTTATACAATGCTGGTGTTGTGTGATTCAAATTTCATTCTATTTTCTAATATCGTTCTTTGATCGTTCACCCCACTGACTTTTTCTTCCCATCAGCATGTCCCATTTTTCTTAGGTCTTTGACTTCACGTATTTTTCTCGGCTTAGCTAAATTGAAAACTAATCCTTATTGGATTGATCTCTTTCGTCTCTGCCCAACTCGGTCCCAACGCGATTTATTCTCCTCTGTCTGTCTTGAACTACCAATACTCTGCACAACTCATTCCTGACACGATTTATCTTATCTGTCTTAAATTGCCATGGATTCAACACCTATCCCAATGTGCGACACCTGTGCTGAAGAATACCCTTACATGGATTCAACATCTCATCCAACATGTGAAGCCTGCCTATATGACGACGCGATCAAATCAACCAACGATCCTAGTGCTGTACCTCCCTTGAAGTACTGTAAGGATGGCTGTGGGATCAAGTTGGGTCGAAAAGCTGGTACAATGTGTGGGGGCTGTAAGCGAAAAACTGAGGGACATCATCAAATTACGCAATCCAATTCTCAGCATAGAACACAATCCACTGGTAGCTCAATTAGTGTACCGTTTCTTGTGGATGATGTTGATCCAGCCAGAATCTCATCAATTCGATCAACATTCCAGATCCCTCAGCTCTCATTAAGTCGACCTGATTCCATGAGCACTAGTACCCCTGGATCGTCTTCACAATCTCTTTTTTCGCGTCCGATTGCACCTATTCCCCCAGTTCGACAAAAGAAACGACCAGCAGAACACCCACTTCAATCACAACCCATGTTACTTGGATATGCACAAGATCGAGCTTATCAACATGGAGAAGAAGCTTCCAAAAGGATCCGTATGGAACGCATTGGGGAGAACAAGCTTCGTAAGGGACCACGCTCGACTGCAATTGGACGCCACCGCAATCAGACCACCGAGACTTCAGCTGCACCTGCTTTGAAACAGATGTAGTCAAGCTCAAGTATAACGCTCACCATGGTCCCAAGTCACATGGCATCCCAGATCATACTCATGATGTTGATTTCTCTGATCAAGACTGGGAGATCAAAATCATGCGGACTGCTACAGAACACTTCCGTCAAAACTCAGTTGGGATATTTCCACCTGGGAACCAAAACATCGACCTCAATACCTACCCTGCACTCCCATCCTTCGACTCTGCTTATTACTCTCTCGGTATTGGTACTGGAATCCTTTCTGGAGATCGCCTGAAGCAAAAAATCATAGCTCCTATTCAGCCTGGTAAACGGGCCCCCAGAGGTCCCCTGGCACTCTCTCTATTCTTTGCAGCTGCGACCTACTTGGCTGCTGTCAATCTGCCAAGTCCTCCAAGCTCCGATGTTAATACTGATTCTGAAGGTGAAGATGACCCGTCAGAGGCAGCGCACAGTAAGTAATTCTTTTTGTCTAGAATGTACATTTATTTACTGACTGATGGTTTTTTCTTTTTTCAGTCTCGCCTATTCAGCTGCCAACAACTTCTTCCAGCGTTGTTACTGTCATTGACCGGCCAACAAACGGTTTTGTGAATAGTCCAATCATCAACACTCAAAATTGGACCAGTTCCATATCAAGAAGTGTATCGCTAGCTATCAAGCGCATTCATCAGCTTGCTGATCAAGGCATCGATCCTCTCAAAGTACCCAACTCCTCGGTGGTGGCTGCCCAAGATCCATATGACATTGCCAGTACACCTTTCCCTCAAGAAATCGGCACTCCTCTCCCTGACGGTCATCCTGCTCGCAACGGTCAAATTATCACAACTATCTCATGGAGTGATGCTCTACAATTACGGCTTGGAATAGGTTAGATTAGTTAATTTTTCTATCATAAATCAACAATCAAAATTAACAACTGTGCTTTTGATATGGTAGGACTTCAGATTGCATTATATGGTTGTTCTTTGATTCGAACATTTGGATGTATCTTGCCAAGTGTTGACAGCTTGGCAAGACCAATGAAGAGTGACATCCCTTGGACGAACGTTATCCTCATGGCTCTTGCAAGACCCAACATTCAGTCTACCCCAGAAGCGATCTCCCAACCTCTTGTTTTTGGTCAGTGGGAGGCTTTGGCAGAAGTGAAAAGGATGAGTTCATGGCAGAAAGTTGAAAAGGATGGAAGTTCATTGGCGAAGGGAAAAGGCACCGCGCTTTTAGGGCATAGACAATTGGTATATTGGATGGTGTGATGTCGCGATGGTGGTTGCTAAGCAGATCATCACTGAAGAATCTGGTGATCAAGCCACCTACCTTCAAGACTCGATCGCTTACCATCAAGCCTCATGCCTTCTTGAAGAATTCAAACTTGCAGTGTTTGTGAAATATGGAGTTACAATTGCTCAGAAGAAGATTTTGAACTCTTTACAGGTGCGTCTCTCCTATCAAGATGTGTTTGAATATTCATACTGACTACATGATTATTGTAGGTTGTTTTCAATATGGTCATGATCCAGAATTGTGATCCTTATAAAATCGAAGAGCTCCTTGAGCATTCACCTGAAGCAATGTCAACCACCATCGATAAGGCCCTGAACGCACCAACGTCTTTATTATTAGATGCTTTAAATGCATTTGTACATTACACTTATGATTACTTCAAAGGGCAAGCACTTCTTTGCGATATCAAGACAGTCAATGGTCGCTTGACTGGTATGCGCATGTTTGATCGAAGGTGAGTTTTATATCAATGTCCAATTGTAATATATATTGTTGACATTGGGTCAAACAGGTTTCAGTGGTCTCCAAGCGATGAATCACCTGATGAGATTGACACCTTCAAACTGGGGCATCAATGTGGTGAATTCTGTAATGTTCTCAAATTGCCATCGCCCGACTTCAAGTATCCTACAAGTGATGATAGGGCTGAAGGTGGAGAAGAGGTGGCTATCGATCCAGTTCTTGAATCACTTGAACATATCCACCCAAAGCAGTCAGAGGCTGAGCATGATACCCTTCCATCTGATGATTTAGGGATTGATACTCACTCCTAAATCAAAATTCCTTTCTCTGATGTGTGTGACTGAAATCTCTTCAAAAAGAACAAAAAACCCTTAATTTTCTGTACTTCACCATAGTACTAGATGTGATATTAACTTTTATCAATCTGGATTTTAATATTCTTATCATCTCCACTAATATTAATTTGTTCTTGATTTTTAATGATTCCTTGTGATTGAGTTGATCTCAAATGGAGACAGTACAAACAAACATGTTGAAATTGAGTCTGATCAGACACATAGCAGTTGTGCTAAATGAACAAGAGCAGAATCTAGTCAAAATATCAGATTATGTGAAATTTGAAAGTAATTGTTGCCAGTCGTTGTGAAAACAAAGTTTGTCAATGATGAAGGACATGCAATTGGGTCAGATAACATATGTCTATCAGAACAGATTGGCTATAACTATAAACACAGATGTTCAGGTGGGACAGACATAAACATCTGAAAACACAACTTTCTAAACAAAACACAACAGACACCATTTATCTTTCCTTTAACTTACGCGTCTGGTTGATGCCCTACAAGAATTGGTGCCAATCGATGTTCAATCCCATCATCAACGTCAGGAACAAATTCTTCTTGATGTCTAGATACCAATCTGGCTTCATTGATATCAACATCAACCAGTTTCAAAGCCTCTAGTATTGGTTGAAAAAAAATCCACACAGTTTCAAATGTGATATTTTCACGTTTGATACCCAAGCATCGAAGAGCGCTGTCAACTTGCTGTTCAAAGGGCTTTGG